GATTTGGATTTGGCTGCGTTCTCTTTGAAAATCTGAGATTTTCTCAAATACGCTGAAATCGACGTATTAGAATTGTATCCAAGATTAAAATTGAGGATAATACGGCAAGGATCTTAGCAAAATCGAGGATATTTAAAGATTGGCGTTATGGCGAGATGGAGCTTACCGCTATAAATGTACATCCAAAAAATATTAGTTCCTCGGCTCCGTTTAGTTCCTAGAGATAATGAGCCTTCTAAATAAACACTATGGGAAAAAGTGTCGTTTTCATGCTACAATTTATTAAAAAATGTCAAAGACGCCACTTCTAAAAAAAAAAGTTCCAGATCTACAAAGGCCAAATTTAAATGATTGCCAAATATGAAAAGTTCAATAAAAATCGGAGAAAATCGATCAAAAATTCATAGGAGAATTTACGTATTCTCGGCAACCTAAGCAGCAAGCATCTTTCTATAGCCTTTTTCTCTAAGGAACGCACACATATGCAGTATTGGTTTGTTTACAATCTTTTGCTGCCAGCTGCTCTAACAATTTCAGTCGAAAGAATTGTTAAAAACTGTTTTGAAACGCTTTTACGAAGCTCCAATCTTCTCTAGTGAGAGCGAGTATTGTCGGCAACCAGTTTTTCTTCGGCAACCGTTCCATTTGAACTGCATGTAAATCTGCTGTTCTATTATCGGCAACTCGAAATCAGCTACAATTTGTAGTGCGCGTGTTTCATTTCAAGAAAACCTTGCTAGATTGCTTTTTCTCAGTGGTAAAAATATAGTCAAATTGAAGCTGAAAGCATAAAGAATCGTTTGCATGGATTCAGCGAAGTGTTTTCGTAAGAAAATCCAGTGAAAATAATGTTTCATTTTGGGTTGCCGAAAATAGTCTGGCATGCCGAAGCCGTCATTTCCCCTATATATTTTAAATTTGGTGTCGATCTTCTCACTAGGGTTTTCAGTTTTTTACAGGTTGATGGAATTTCTGGAATTACTAAAAAAAAATTACCGTGCATAATTTCCCTGGAAAGCAGTCGTTATTTTCAACAACTTTTTCTCGTTTATAGTACATTCAGACTACAGAGTTATAACATGCTACAGCACTATCTTGATGGTGGTTTCTGTGTTGCAATTATTTGACAATCGTTATAACATGTTATAACTCTCCAGTCTGAACAAGGCACTAGGTTGAAAGTCATGTTTTCGTACTATGCTTTTCTAAAAATGAAACGATCCGCCATTTTTGTAGTGATCAAGTGTAAGCCGAATTCCAGCTCAAATGTGAATGATTAGCCATAACAAGCAATTATGCAAAGTTTCACAGAAATCGGAGAAGGTCGTTCCTAAAATTTGTGCAATTTTGAGCTACTCTCATCGGCCGTGTTATAAAAAAAGTCTACGATACTTGGACAAGTTATGACAAGTTATGAATTTTCTAAGTGTGTGATGTGCGAGAAAATCAGAAAACTTCTACTAAAATTGTCCGGGTGTTATTTCCCGGTTAGGTTTGTTTTGTAACCGTTCGTGAAATTTCGCTGAGGTTTTGATTTAACTCAGTGGCTTAAGCACCACTCTCGATTAGGAGAGACCACTGGTCGTGTTAAAGCTTTCCCCGACAAATGAGACTTTTCTCTCAGAGGACCTCTTGAACGGTCGTTGGTTACTAACGGCAATGAAAAAAACTATTACCTTCTATTACCCAACTTACCTTCGGACGGCTTCGCGTACTTTGTTTCCGCAATGACCACCAGTGATGAAATGAACCCCCTCTCCCGTTGGATTGAATCCGGACCGCGGCACGCTTTTGGCGACGCACTCACACGGTCCGAGCTCTCGGAAATAATGGTCCACGGGGTTGTAGTGGAAGGGACCTCGTCGACGGATGATTGGCGACCGTCGGAAGATATTTCGCTTAGAAGATTAGCGAACTTCACCCACCTCCGTTTAGCTACCTTCGAAAAGGCGGGCCTTAGCAGGGCGCACGAGTCACGGAAAATGTCCGTCACCCACGAACGATGACGGCGACGCCACAGATGGAACCCCCGATCCGGCGTTGACGATAGCCGAACGGAACGTATATCCAGCCCGTACAAAAAAAGCGCAAAGCGCTGGAAATCCAACGCGAACTCACATTACTTATACTATTCTAAATTTTAACAAAATTCTATAAAATTACCTTTGTTGTACAATATCACAAATAAACGCACTGATAAGACTACGCGGAACTTAATACGGACTTATGTCCACTATACAAAAAGAAAGAAAACGTTTAAAAAACCACTGGTTGATAAAAACTCACTCACTACTATTTAGTATCTTTAGAGAAAATTATCGCACTAAATCAATTTGAATTAATATAACTCGAGAACGTAAAGTAATTCGCGCACTTCTGTTATCCTTCTTCTTTCCTTTATTTAACGTCGGTCTCTGTTCTGCAATCTAGTGCCAATCACCGACGGACATCGATTGCCATCCATTGACGGCAATCGAATGTGCAGGAAGGCAGCTTCCACACCTGCGTAGGATATCGCACCCATTCAATTCAACACACATGGGCCGGGACCAACGGCTTTAATTCCCTTCCGAAGGAAGACGTGACCAGAGATTTTTATGCCTCAGAAAAATCCCACCGACCTCGGCTGGGATTGAACTCAGACCCATCGGGGTGTTAGAAAGCAGTCACGCTTACCACTACACCACCGGCGCCGGCTAAACTTCTGTTATCCAGCCGATTCGAAAGCGAAATGGATGAGTCAGAATAATTTTGCGAGCAGGAAAATTCCTAACGACCTTTTCCTATTCAGATAGGTCATTTTTTAAAAACTCCTTCTTTATTCGAGAGTTGCGCCCAAGGGTTGAAACAGTTGACGTTTTTTACTACACTCGCTCCGTTGTCATGCGCGATAGTCTGTTTGTATTCGAACACTCATGCTCTACCGTCGTCTCTCTCACACAACACGAGCGGTAGAATAACATTCGAGCTAAAAGAAAATAATCAAAATAGCTATCATATGACATGTGTGATTTCGTTGTAATTCCTGAATTTGGTGTAAATCAAACCATTTCTGATCAGAAATGTTATTACTAGGACATCATTGCTTGCTATTTTCAGAATTCACACAAGCACACCATCAGCAGCTCTTATTATGAGAAAAAACTAAAATACATACATTCGTGACGGTCTTCGGCGACGGTGTCATATGACAGAGCCTGTCATACGACATTTTAGTTTGGTACTGTACTATGATAGCTTGTTTTGCAAGTGTCGGAGGCAAAGGCAGTCAATTATCACAGAAAATGTGTCGACTACCGTGACCGCTTACAAGACTGGTTGCGCCAAACCTTTCGAATAACGACAGACTTCATGGCGCCTTCAGAAAGAATGTACAATATAATACAGCACAATATAAGTTGAGCTTTTATGGCGAAGTTGTAGCCTAGACACAGTAAATATGGCAACGTTGTAAAATCGACACAGCAATGGTCTGATTTTATTTTCACGGTTGAAATATTTCATTTCTTAGCAAACTTGTCATAAAAAAAAGATTTAATTGTTAATTAAATTAGATTTCAACGAAAAACTATTTACAAAAAACGTAAAACGTTACAGTTTCCGCACCTGTAGCAAACAAAAGCTTCTATACTTTCTCTTTTTTCGTGCAGTAACTTACTGTAGGTTCGGGAACAAACCTAATATTTGTGAATTTTTTGTCATTGTTTTTTTTTTTATATATATATGCTGGGCTCGATGACCTAGAGGCGATCGTAATTGCTTATTGATCATTTGATCGTGAGTAAAATCCCTGGCTTTTTGAAAACGTTTTTTTTAGAGTCGCGTCGCTTCCATTATTGCACTTATATACAGCGTATCGTTAACCAAACTGAGCTTGACTGCAAACCCAACTTTGTTGATTGTATGAAGCAACATGGTGAATCTTTGTCATTGACGAAAAAAATAATGAGATTTTGATGAAGACTTATGTGAAAGTTCATTATTCGTGAAGACTTATGTGAAAGTTCATAGACGATGTCAAAGATAATTTAGAGCTAGAGCTTGATATCTTTCAATTTAAATGACAGAACTCAGCACTACAGAAATGTTCGATACTGATGCAAACACCAATTGAGGTGCATGGTGAACTATGTAATAATTTAAATGAAATAAGAAACTTTTACCATTTTCGGCTTGATTTTCCCGTTACCTATTTACACTTTTTTTTTAAATTTCCAAGATAACTACAACTAAACGCTACAGAAGTAATTTTTTTTTCAGCTTACTCAACAATAGTGTGGGAATGCAAGATATGATGTGCATCAATTTTTATATATATTTGCTGAAACAATGGAATCTGTCATCTGATTGAATACATGGACACCGACAATATTATGTTAAATAGTTTTATTTGATAGATACATTTTTTACACGAATCAGCGTGATTTGCGAGTAGTACTGTCGGTCTGTGTGCTTGTTTTACTTTACTATGTCAATGCGTACGATTTGTTTGTTCTACATTGCTTGCTGGTTTGATTTGTTTCTGTTGATTCTGGTTTAATTCTTTCTGGCTTGTCTACTAATTCAAAAGTCCTGGTACGACGGTTATTACTTGTAAGGTAGCGACAATTGATTTATCTATTGAATATCTACGAATGCTCGAAGGGGATTTTTTTCCATTTATTAAAAGACTATTGGATTGGAATGGTTGTCTATCGTTCAATCAGGTTTATATTTGAAGTTTTCATCGGAAAGTTGTCTGTTTGTCCCGATCAAATCTTTTGCTATATACACTATGATACAAATAGCACTTTTTTCCTACTCTGCCCTTTTCGGCATAATAGTCCCATTCGTTAAAACAGCAAGCTGAGAAAAACGCTATTGAAGATTTTTCTCTATGGGTTCTTGCAGATGGGACATAGTTTTGTACATTGTAAAGTGATGGTACTTGACAATCGATTCCAATGTACAACTAATTATCGCCAAAAATACCAATGGGACTGTTATGCCGCACAGGGAAGTACTCTGCTAGAACTCTTTGGTAACGAGCAAGTAAAATCATATCATAAATAGCCTACGCACGGATCCGCCCTCGACACGGCTCGATACAAAATGCTTCCCATATTCTATTTATTCAATCCGAAATACATCCACCAACGTTCAGATATTTACACGATACAAAATGATCCACAATGCCTACATTGGTACCGGATGGTTATCATTTTTCATAACATCCAAATCACGTTTCTACAACAAATTATTTTTCGTTTTACCAGGATTCGCATCAGTGCCTCTCGGTAATTTTATTGCTTTCTCGATATTTGCTTTGCATTTTTTTTTGTAAAGAGCTGCACAAAGCATTTACGAGTCGTCATCATGCCCCTTTTATCCATCACTCGGTTGATATTCAGAGCTACGAAATTGTAATACAATTGGAAAAAAACGACCAATTCTCTTTATTTTTTTTTTCTGTTTTGGCGAGCGATATCAGATTTTCAACTTTTCTAATTTCGACATCCACGGCAAGTGCTCGCGCATTCGGTTTCTCTTGTAGTGGATTTAATTATTTCTCTCATTTTGAATTTATCCCTTTTGTACGATACCTACAAAGCTCAACCGAGGCGAAAGGGAAGCGGGGTCAGTTGGGGTTCGCATTTTAATTAAATTAATCTGATTACGATTCTGCTTGTGGCCACGAGAATCGCTGTGGCCAGTAGCGTCCGCCCCAGCTCCGCAGTGCCCCGTCCACTGGCACTGTTCGAAGTTGGACGATTACCTCCCTGCGAGTGGGTGCTGCCATCGGGACGGGGCGTCACTTTGGCTTTCAGGTCCGTGTCGATCAGATTGGTCGATTCGTGATCGTCCATGGCCGGCATGTCGATCATGTTCGGTTCACCGTCCTGTATCGGCTCGGTGACCATGTTGGTGTGAATTTTGTTTAACTTTTTCGCTGGCATCCAATGGCGGGTGATGTTGTTGACGTACGATTCCATTTCGATGCCCTGTGGGAAAAGGAGAAGAATTAAAAAAATGGCATTAAAATAATCATTGCACTGTGGTAAAAAATATGTAAAATGTGGAACTTGTTTCCTAGAGTCAATTTTAGCCATAGGGTTTTCGATCTAATTTCCGTCCTACTAAGCACAACCCGCACTTTACCTCTCTTTTATGAACGAGTTTAAACAAAAACTGGAATATTTCTGTCAAAAATTACTTCTAAATTTATTCACCTTTCCATACGTACCGTTGAATTTGATAAAGAGTCACAAATTGTTGAGATATTGTTTAAAATCTAATACTGCTTCTTGATTCTAAATTCGTTCTACGAGTTTCAATCCCATCCAAACGCATTGAAACGCCATTAGATTTTCTTAGTCCTACGGATAAACGTAGAAAAAGGGGATTCGCAGGGAGTGCTTCTTTTGTTTTGAGAACAATGAGCGTAAATATTCATACAATGCGCTCTATCAGGATTTATGTTGTAGCTAATGAACTAACGCATCGGAACAAACCTATTATTGATTTGTGCACGGTGAAATAATTGATATTATTGATCTTTTCTGATCGATAGAACGGAAATGGACGATTACGACGAAGTAACGCTCTACCCTATAGTGTCTTCAGAAGATTTATTTGCATGAACATCCACCACAATCTGAACGTTATCAGAACTAGTCTAGTCATGTCTTACTGTGATAAAAAAACGAAAATCTTACCTTTTTTCTTTGAATATATAGAGGAATCTTGCAAAACAAGTAAGGTAGCTTAGAAAGTCAACATTCTAAGTCCAGTATGTATAATCAGAGTTATGGAGTATTATGTATGGGAACTCCCTTAAATTTAGCTTTTCGATCATAACTTTTTAGCGATTAATTTTTTCATCTCCAAATACTCAAGAAAATTATGAGAACCGCAAAAAGACACGTTTTTGTCGAAGGCTGTAAGTCGCTAAAATTTGTAATGTATTTTTTATTAACTTCATGCGCTAATAGGGGAGAAAGGGGCCAGGGCACATTTATATTTTGACTTAGAACTACGCCTTTCTTCACTATACTGGGGATCACATTATGAAAAAAAAAAAATGAGGCATGTATCGAAATTGGGGTTGTTTACAAACGCATATTTCTCAGAAGCAGTGATGGAAAAGTTCGCAAAAAATCACTATGACTCACGAACTTTTCCCTTGGTGAACTTCGTGAAATATCGCGAACTTTTCCAACACTGCTCAGAAGCATTAATGTGAAATACGTCATGCAATATGCCATTCTACAGGGAATTTATCCAGCATTAAACAAGCCCACACGCAGCAGCTCAACTCAGACGATATAAGACCCCCGAAAGCAACTTGCTACCAAGGCTACCTGCAAGAGCGATCCAGCTAGAAAAGTAGTGAAGAACCAACACCGCCACTGTTCGGGTACAAGGCTTCATTGAAGCTGTAGATCTTCAAGATCTTAACCCCAAAACACTTTGGGGAGCATTAAATATCTTATTGAAACCATTCGATGATGTGCATGTTAACAGAAGCCTCACTTGAGCTTCACAAACTCAAAAATACTTTCAGGACATTGTTCAAGATCTGTAAGCCACCGTTCTTTGGAGAGCAACAAGAACAATTCCATGGCAGGTATGTTGTCAAAAGGCTATCTTGAACTTCTTGGATTCATATGGATTTTTAGGACATTGTTGAAGCTGTATATAACTCCAAGATCTCCACAATGCTTTGGGAAGCATTGACTATCTTATTGCAGCCATTCTAAGATGCACATGTCATCATATAATTTTTTTTTGGGTTATGATAATGTGTTGAATATGTTGGAAACGTGCGCATCAAACTACATAGACACTAGACTGATGCAAAATTTGAATTTTTCGCTCCACAGTGCTTAAATGGTTTCCAATCGGGTCCTGATTAGCCTCTCAAAATTACAACTCATTTGGTTTCTAGACTTCGCACAAGCCATTTGAAGTTTACATGTAAATTACTATGAGAAATCTCAACTTTTTGTTCATTGCCTTCGAGTCTTTTTTGCATATTGAGCTGCGAAACAGTTCGATAGCCATTTTCATAGAAAATTTTCTCTGTTACAACTTTGCTGAAGATCGTTTCTATGTAAAACGAGACAGGAAAAAGTTATTAATTATTTAAGAGATTGGTAAACTTATGACATGATCAAGCAGCTGCTCTGTAGGCAACACTGTATTTTGCAGTGTGACATAGTAGCCATGATTTTTGTCTCGTATTCAACGCCCCACAAACACCAATGTTGCCTGCTGAGCAGTTGATTAAGCATGATCATAAGACATCAGGGCATTGAACCATTAATAACATTCGATTCTTGCATTTAAAAGTGATCTTCAGCAAAGTTGTAGCTGGGAAAATTTCCTATACGTACAGTTGAAAACTTTTGAAGCAGACCGATATGGTGAATTATCAGATGGACATGAACAAAAATCTTGGTTTTACACTAGTAATTCCCATACAAACTTCAAATGGTTTGTGCCATCTCAGTTTCTGACCAAATGGGTTCAAATTTTGAGAGGTTAGTCAGAATCCGATTTGGAATCGTTTAAGTACTGTGGAGCGAAAATTTCAAATTTTGCATCACTCTAATAGACACATACTAACACAAAACATGCCAAACAATGCATGAACTTATTTTACAAAATGTATCAGGAGAGCTTCAGAGTAGTTCTGAGGAGAGGTTACAAGTAATTCTGAGGGAACTTCAGAGTAGTTCTGAGAAGAAGTTCAAAATAATTCTGAGGTGAACTTCAGAGTAGTTCTGAGGAGAACTTCAGAGTATTTCTGTAGAGAGTTTCAAAGTAAGTCTGATGAAAACTTCAGAGTATTTCTGAGGAGAACTTCAGAGTAGTTCTGCAAAGAATTTCAGGAAGTTTCGAGAACTCCAGGGAAGTTTCATTGGTCGGAGGATAATTTCGGGAAATTTAATTACCTGGATAATGTATGGCCAGTGTGGTCCTGAGTATTTATTAGGGTCACTAATGTTCTTATTTTTGAATTCTCATGTAGTTTGATGTGTCACATGAGGATGTAGGTTCGAGTTTCACTTCTTTCACTTAATATGGCCACCAATGATTTTATTCATGTGTTGCATGAGGGTGTAGGTTCAAGAAAAATTTGCCCACGATTGTACGACTTTTCCCCGAAAACCAGTCCCCCGAAAACACTTTCCCCGGAAAACATTTCCCCGAATGTAACTTTTCCCCGAAAAACATGTCCCCGAAATACAATTCCCCGATTGGAACAGTTCCCCGAAAATAATTTCCCCGAATGTACCATTTCCCCGAATCTGCAAATCTTCGCTGGTTAACTACTTGTTCCGAACAATACCACAATAAACATATTAATGTGTGTCGAATAAAGACAATAGGTCGTATGAATAAAAGCGTTTACTTTACTTTTCTTACGGGAAAGTAAAGTAAACTCTTTTTATTCATACGGCCCAATAGTTTGACTTTCGTTAAAACAAAATGTAAAGGTCAAGATCCATAAATCGGTGTAATCGGTGTAATCCGGTTCTATAACATTCTCCAGAAAACAATTCCTCAGAAAACTATTCCCCAGAATGCACCATTCCCCAGAGAAAAAAAAAAAACATTCCCCAGAAAAGCATTCCTCAGAATGTACCATTCCCCAGAAAAGATGATGAAATTAGTAATTTTCACTTTTCTGTTTTTTTACTATTGATAATACACTATGTTTACTTTTATGGAACTATGTATTTATCAATTCCAAACAATTTTTTAACTCTTTATAAAATGACAACCTTCAAGTTCATCATTTAATAAGTCAAAGGGTCTATTATGCAATCCATTTCAACCAGTCAGAAACTGTTAAACCTTATCGAAGAATTGTTCGACCTGAGTTGAAGAATTTCTCGTGATGGATTAAAAAATCGGTGCATGGAACGTTGAACTACCGATTACAAATTTATAGCATTATTCCACTCGTTATTATCCCATATGGTCATTACCCCGGATCCCTTACGAAAAGCTATTGATTATATATTTTCCGTATTTATTAAAAGAAGGGGATATTCCCTTCTTTATCATACATTTAAAGAATTAATTATTTTCTCTTTTATATATTCAAAGAAGGGAGTATTCCCTTCTTTATCGTTTGTCAAAAGAATTAATTATTTCCTTTTCTTATATTTTCAAAGAAGGGAATATTTCCTCCTTTATCATATATTTAGCAAATTAATGATGTTTTATTTTATATATTCAAAGAAGGGAATATTCCCTTCTTTATCGTATGTCCAAAAAAATAATAATTTCCTTTTCTTGTATTTTCGAAGAAGGGAACATTCCCTTCTTTATCATATATTTAACGAATTAATTATGTTCTCTTTTAAATATTAAAAGAAGAGCATATTCCCTTCTTTATCGTATATCGCGGTATATTATATATATTTACAAAGTTTTTCTAGCGAAGTCTTCATTATGAAATTATTCGATAGGAACCACTTTGTTCGTACACTTAACACACTGGTCAAACAAATACGAATGCAAGGTTTTAACGAAGGCCGTCGCCAAATGTCATAACAAGTCATAACCACAAACTTTATCTAGGGTGTTGAACGACTTTGTACTGTTTATCAATGTTCAGCAGAGATATTTTTCTGAATTTCATATAGATAAGTTGTAACAAACCCTAGGATCATATTTAAATAGATCGTACAGTGTAAATTGTATCTTTCGGGGAAATAGTTCTTTGGGGGAAATAGTTTTCGGGAAAACGTTCCTTTCGGGGAACTGGTTCATCCGGGGAATCGTATTTCGGGGAAAGTGTTTTCGGGGAACTTGTTTTCGGGGAAAAGTCGTACAATCTTCCCAGGGGTATCCGAAACATGTTCGGATCTGGCCAACTTGGTTCTGAGTACTTAATATGGCCACTAATGATTGATTCAAGAAGAATCTGACCACTTTCTCTGGGGTACCCGGAACATGTCCGGATGCATGGTTCTGACTACTTACA